AAAATCAATTCGGCATTGCTGCTAGTTCGTTTAAAAAAATAAAGCTACAGCGACGTCAATGATCGGTGCAATTTTCATCGATGTATCGGCGATGCTTGATGACTACACTGGGAACTTGTACTTTGTCGCCGTCGTTCTTTACCTTTAAGGAATGCCAAGCTACTCGTTGACGACTGCCCGACGGATGTGTGCTCATAGGATCGATGTACAGATCGTCGTTGGAGGGAGTGCCAGCGTTGGAAATCGCTACGGTACCAGCCTTGACGTCGTGATATGACACCGAACTACAGCCTTTTGAACATTATGGAAGAGAGCTAGCTGCCATCTGGCAAACCAATGTTCATCGCTTCCCACACTTTCACTTAAAGGTTGACAAAGATTCATGAGGACTGTTTGATTTATACATCAACACAAGGAAGTATAATTTAACAAGGCCTAGTCATCGTTTGATTGGAACTGAATGCTCAGCACGACTCAACTATATTTAAAAATTCCTTCATAGTTACATTTATGATTTTGACGAATTTTGGCATATTCACTGGCACGCTGCTAGCTAACATCTGCTCAGGCGAAACTTTAAGTTTAATGCCTGTTGTGCAATGAACAATTTAATTTGGTAAAATCTGACTGCCTGTCTCTGGGTGTAGGTTTAATGCGGTTTTTCAACCTTAAGAAACGATATTCACGTGAATATGAAATGAACAGTTCCGATGGCTTATGGTTTTGCCTCACCGTCCGCGACAGGCAGCAATTTGCGTCTCAAAAACAAATAATTCACAAAACCGTAAGACCAAGGTTATGAGGAACCCATCCGGCACAGGTGAGCTACAAATGGAACTGATAGATGAAGTCGTTCACGAGGTTGAATAGCTGAAGTATCTCTGCTCTACTGTCTCCAGCAATGGCACCATGCATCGTAGGAACCAGAACTAAATAGGAGGTTCACCCTAACTTCTCATGCTTTTAGAAATCTGTACAATGTGCAACTCATAAAAGTGTCGTTCTTCCCATGAAAATCTGGCTGTATCTTGCCTCTGTCAGGTGAGTGTTGTTAAATGGTATGGAGGCAGTCGTTCAAACGAAAGAGCAAGAGCGATGGTTGTACTGCGTATTGCAGCGTTAGCGTCGAAGCAAAAAGATGACAGGGCCACTGAACGAATGACTATTTATTCACACGGAAACAGGTGACCTCAGTATATTTGGAAATTAAGAAAAGGAATTTTGCCCTGATAAACAAACTGGTTGGGCATACGCTGTTTACTTCAGAAAATGGGCCCCTCGTGTGAGAGCCGAAAAACAGAAGGTGTCAAACGAGAGATCCGCTTGCAAGTGGAGCAACAACATAGAGGAAGATTGGCTTTCAGGAAGCAATGTTTCCGTCTGCGATGCATTAACGATGCCTTATGTCGTAATGTGGAAACGCTGAGGTTACGGTGGACATCGCAAACCAGAGATGTTCTGTGTATGCAAGCGACTCAAAGTGGTGATCTCAACAAAAACAACAGACACAGAAACAATTCAGTTCGCATTGATACCATTATATGAAAAAAATACCGTCTCGCTACTGAGCCACTTGCAACAGGTTGGATGGTGATTATCAAACAGATAACGGAGTTAAGACCTCGTCTGATATGACAAAAGGGGGTTCGTACTTTCTGCGGAAATTTGGTGCACTGTGCAGGATCGGTCTGTTCCTGTCAATCAAATAGTCAGTTAGTGACACTCACGTTTGGCAACTGCTCGGGCATAGTTTTATGACAAGGCAGGCCGCGTTGGCGTCAAACGCTAATCCCTTTCTAATCACTCTTTACCGCGTTTCAAGGGCCAACATTTGTAAATAGTTTCATGCTTTCGCACCAGAAGGCGAGCAAAATATCATTTTAGCTAGAAAGTAATGCGGGCTCATGGAGCACTACAAGCACTCAAATACGATAAAGCAATGACTTGTTTCAATGGCCGTATATATCTTATCTCGTATATACGCAATAAGATATATATGAAATAGATATTACGAAATCCGTTGCATATTTCTGCAGTATTCTCCATGGTTCAGCCGGAATAGTCTGTTCCAAGTGTACCAGTCTCTAAAACACGCAGAAATTGCTCCGTGTATTCTTGTCATCTTTTGCAGAATTGGCAGAAAGTAAAAACTGATCCCCTGCGGCCCAACTGGATCGACACTATTAATCCCTGATTTTCGATTTTACGACTAATCAGCATTTCATTTCCAAGTACTTTGCGTAGATTTTGCCCAAGATGGATTTTACCTTAGATGCCCTTAAGTTTCTGCATACTTTTTGACACATTTTTCCTGTGCACATCGTTAACCGACCGTGACAGTTTATGCGCAGCTTTTAAGCAGCTCTGCGCAAGTTAACATGCATAGGCAGCCAGAGAATGCCATTTCAATTCCATTCTTTCAGTGTATCAGGTCGGATCGAGCTCCTCAGCAACTTGAACGCTGGTTAGACTCGGTAATAGCTGTCACCTCAGTCACTTTGGAACTCCTTTCTGAACCAAATGCATTTTGAAACTCTCGCCAGGGTCAGCGATGATGCAATTCATAAAATTTTTAAATTATTGGTTACCTTGTTAACGTTAAAGATTAAGTCTTCAGATTTTCAAAATAAGAAGTATGCGATATCTATATACGATTTATCACTGTCTTTACAATTTAGCACATATGATTATCGGATTTTAAGATACTGGTTGTCTAAAGAACCAAACTGTAAAAAGTATGCATGTTCAATTACACCACCAATTACACCACCAAAGGAAATCATTGTTTGCAAAACACATCCATTAGTATGTTTTGAGGGAGTTTTGCTCCAACTCATTGGTTGAGAGGAAGTTAAACGTCAATAATTCCACTCTCATTGGCCAACCAGTTCCCTGCTGATCTGAAACGCCCTCATACGATAGTGTCACCTGCGTAATTAACACGTTTGAATTGGGCCATGATGGTGCAGTCACTAGTGAACATGTTAGAGAGGTGAGAAAATCGAGCCTTAAGCCCCATCATTTAGCTTTATGAATTGGCGTCGATACAAAAAATAATGGGTTGTCCAGCAAATCATCAGTTCGTGGACGCCGAAGTTCTTTAACTAACGCAGAAGGATTCCGTGGCAAACAGTTTTGAATTCTAAAAGAGGGTCGAAAAAAGTTGACTTATCGGTGCCTCTGCCCTTGTCGAGACGTTGACTGATTCCATGGGCAGCGCAGAAAATGGCATAGTCTATTTCCATTCCTTTTCTATATGCGAACTGCCACGATTTCATTTCGTCGATAAAACTCTGTTCAATTATGGGCAGGATCAGCTTTTGTGAACATTTCGGCAAAGTAGAGGTCAATACTATTGGACGATGAACATCTTATCTTTGCGAAGACGATCGGTTTATTTCGTTATGAATGCATGACGCCAAGCATCATAGGGATCACTGCTTGACTTAAACAGTAATTAAATACACACCGGTGGATTCCACACAACTCAATTGAGCATAATTGAGCAATACTCGACTAACCCCATT